CCCCAAAACCCCAAAACCCCTTTAGTGCTTATCATTAGGGATATAGACAGAGGATATAAATATTAACTTGCCTCACTAAATAAATTATTATTCCTATTTGTTCTTGTGCTTATTTATTACTTTATTACTAGATACATTCTATTAAAATGGAGAACACAAAATGTAACAACGATATTGCGAATGATGAAGAAGATAAGAATAAATTAGATACTACTGAAAATGAATTGATCTAATAAGGTTTAGATAAATTGGTAGAGAAAATGTGTAGCTCATTTGAGTTCAATCCTATTTCTCTGAAATTTAAGGATGAGTAATTGGAAAATGCTTATAAATTAAGAATGAAAGATCATGTTGATAAATATGGATGAACATACCTGGCAGGATGTGTGATTCTAAACATCTACTATTTCATATTCTATCCATGGGATAAATTAGTATTAAACCATGAATTCATTGTATTTCTAGTATCTAATGTTCTTGCTATTGTTTTTGTCATATTAGTGTATTATTTGGCAAGAAGCTATTAAAAGATTGCTCTTATATATGGTGTGCTATAACTCTTCTTACTTTATATTTTAGTAATAGAACTATTGATAATCACAGACTTTTTATATGGAACAGCAGAGGAGTCTTTATATGTAATCACAATAATGATGATGCAATTGACTCTACTCTGCTATTGTAAAAAACAGCAAATTATAGCATAAATTATCAATATAATCTATGTTTATATCAGGTTTTGGAATTTGAATATTGATCTTTATCAATATGGAAAGTGCGTTACTATGATTACTTTGATAAATATATACATGTATTTTGAATCTCGAGATTTTATGATGAGAGATCGAGAAATGCTAAAATAAAAGATCACTCATCAACAACTATTAAAAATATTTCATTCTTTGATAAAATCGCATCATGATGGGATTACTATTACTTTCGGAGATGAAATCTTATTTTTCAACAAATAAATTTCAAACATTTTTTTAGATAAGAAAAGTGCTTTTAATAGTACAACTAACAATTAAGACGCCAATTAAAGAGAAGAGCCAATCGATAGTAATAGAGATGAATTATCAAGTGTTCTAAGTGTTTCATCTGAGATTAATAATGATCAAACCGAAATCTTAAAACAAAAAATGGCATAAACATTTAGTAAATAAGAATTTATTCTCGGTCCTAAGTAAAAAGAGAGCGGAAAAAAGAACCCAAAAACCTAAAAATTCTTGCATATTTGGCAATACATCATGAATAAATAGTTCCAATCAGAGCAAATATAAGATAGCGAAGATGATTAGCACAATTCAGAAGGAGAATTTTTCAAATTTAAACAAATTTAGTAGGGGTAAAAAACCTCAAAAACATTGCAAGTCTTCTCTAATTTAATAAGTAATGGCTAGAGATATTTTGTGGTAGCTACTATCAGAGATATGTCTCTTTGGATAGAATTGCAAAAATAGAAAAATCTAACTTTAGCTAAAACTCAGGCATTCGCTTAGGCAGCTCATGAATTCAGAAATCCACTTGGAGCGATTATTAATTCTTTGGATTTATTGCATGACTCAGTAGATTTTAAAACAGGCCATTCATTTTATGAAACAGCCAAGAACTGTTCTAATTTACTCCTTTATCTTATCAACGATGTCCTAGATTATAGCCAGTTAGAGTCTTCAAAGTTAATGCTGAATATTGAAGCAACTAATCTCAGATAAATTGTACAAGAATGCATTAATGTTTTGAAGTTTAGAGCAGATATCAAAGGCTTATAACTAAACTCTCAATTCTCCTTTGACTTTCCTTAAGTTATTTATTCAGATGAGAACAGAGTCAGATAGATACTTATCAATCTAATATCTAATGCTATTAAGTATACAAATAAAGGGTTTGTATAAGTATAATGTTCGATAAATTCAATTCAAGACAGCATATTTATTGCAGTAGAAGATTCAGGAGTAGGTATTGAAGAATAATACCGAGGATAGTTATTTGAAGCCTATACAAAGACTAAGAAAAATAGATCAATGAATAAGTTAGGATGTGGATTAGGATTGACTATTAGCAAAAAATTTGCTTAAGCTTTGCATGGTGATCTAACTCTGGAATCAGAGGTAAATGTAGGCTCAAAATTTATTCTCACCCTTCCTCATCGAAAATCTCTTTTAAAATAACGTAGCAACATATCCTTTGAACAGAAGGAGAGAATTCTTATCTTTCCAAGGAGTTCTAGGATTTAATTACTTAATGGTCCTAAATATAAAACAATAGATCAAAGAATTACTTTTAGTAATTTTGAATAGAGATAAAACTTTAGCTTTATAAAACAAAATATTGATCAGCCTCAAATAATGTCACTAAATAGCTATAGATAATAATCCTCCGAGGATGATTCTTTTGTTTACTCACATAATCATGAGATTGAAATGAACATTGAGATTTATAATAAAATGGGAAACAAAAATGGAAATTTACAGAATAAGGATAATGTGCAAATGAGTATATTGTAAGAGTCTTAAATTTTACTCATTGATGAAGAGGAGGAGGAGCCTTGCTATATTAATAGATCACTAGGCTATAATTCACCACTCAATGATAGTATAAAGCAAAAATAAAAATAAAAATCCATTTTTAAAGAACCTTTATAACTAACAGGATGCTAATGCTCTCAAATTCTGATTGTTGACGATGATCCTTTTAATATAATAGTTCATGCAGGCATTTTAAGCCAACTTGGAATAAAACAAGTTAGTAAAGCATTCAATGGCTAAGATGGCCTTGAAAAAATAATTGAGAACTTCAGTCAACTTAGAGATTATTAAGATATCGAATCTAATGGTTTTATATGCTTAAATCATCAACCATTTAAATTGCTTTTGTTCGATAATCAAATGCCAATTATGACTGGTTTTGAGTTAGGCAAAGAAATAAGAGAAAGATATAGTGATGTTATTTAAAAGTATGAAATCAAAATAGTCATGATTTCTGGAGACTTTGATGTTAATCACAATCAACTCTACAAAGACATTTTTGACTATATTTTGCAGAAGCCAATAAGCTAGCAAATGTTTAAAACGCTCTTGAATCAGATTTAGAATTGATTTATAGAAACTATTTAAAATATATACCGTTTATGAATTATTAGTATAAAGGATATCAATATTTTATTTTCAAGAATTTTACAGCCATAATTCATACTCTTCAGCATAACGGGGTTTTGGGGTTTTGGGG